AATATAATCAATAATAAATTACATTCAACGTTATAATATATATATATGGGACGTTCTTTGTCAACCGGACCACCCCATCTCTCCATAATTGGTTTAATTTAAAAAAATTTTATCATATTGGAAAAATTAGCTTGGAATGTCTACTTTTTAATCCCGTTGGGCGCTTTTTGAAATTCAAAATGGCGACTTAAATATGGCGCCTAAACGACATAAAAAACACAAAAAATCCACTAATATGATCTATATTATTGTTTAAAGCTTCACATATGACGATAAAAATAACCACAACATAGTTTACTTACAAACTGATAACGTATCTCCATTCAAAATTCAAAAATTCAAAATGGCGGATTAAATATGGCGGATAAAATTAAAAATTGAGCTAGACTCGTGAAAATTACTACTTGGAGGTTTTCGAGGTCGCTGATTACGAATCCGGTGTTAGTTTTCAAAAATTCAAAATGGCGGATCCAATATGGCGGACAAAAATTGAAAAATTGTTTAGATTCGACTGAAACTTGTTACTCGGGGGTTTTTGGGGTCGCTGATTACGAATCCGTTGTTAGTTTTCAAAAATTCAAAATGGCAGATTCAATATGGCGGAAAAATTGAAAAATCGTGTAGATTCGATTGAAACTTGTTACACGGGGGTTTTTGGGGTCGCTGATGACGAATCCGGTGTTAGTTTTCAAAAATTCAAAATGGCGGATCCAATATGGCGGACAAAAAATTGAAAAATCGTGTAGATTCGATTGAAACTTGTTACACGGGGGTTTTTAGGGTCGCTGATTACGAATCCGGTATTCGTTTCCAAAAATTCAAAATGGCGGATCCAATATGATGGACAAAAATTAAAAAATCGTTTAGATTCGCCTGAAACTTGTTACTCGGGGGTTTTTGGGGTCGCTGATTACAAATCCGTTATTAGATTTTAAAAATTCAAAATGGCAGACTTAAAATAGTAGCCCAAAATTTAAATAATTAAGTTAAACCCGTAAAATTGTTTACTGGGGGGTTTTCGGGGCCACTGATTACGAATCTGCGGTTACTTTTTAAAAATTCTAAATGGCTGACCAAAAATCCAAGAAATTGAGCTAAACTCGTTAAAATGTCTACCTAAGGGTTTTTCAGGACAATCTTTACGAATTCATCGTTACTTTTTAAAAAATCAAAATGGTGAATATAAAATGGTGGACCAAAATATAAAAAATTGATCTAACTTTTTTATATTGAACGTAAAAAGGTGCCATTTGAACTTATCAAATACAACGCCAGATAACTTTTTATGGAAATTACGTGAGGATTATTTAATTAATAATCACAAAACTAGCTTAATTTTTTAATTCTATCCGCCATTTTGAATTTTAAATAGAGATTTGTCATCAACCATTTAAAAATTTTTTAAAACTGACATTGGATTTGTAATCAGCGACCAAAAAACCCCCTATGTAGACATTTTTACGAAATTAGCTCCATTTTTTCAATTTTTGTCCGCCATATTGGATCCGCCATTTTGAATTTTTGAAAACTAACACCGGATTCGTAATCAGCGACCTCGAAAACCCCCAAGTAGTAATTTTCACGGGTCTAGCTCAATTTTTAATTTTATCCGCCATATTTAATCCGCCATTTTGAATTTTTGAATTTTGAATGGAGATACGTTATCAGTTTGTAAGTAAACTATGTTGTGGTTATTTTTATCGTCATATGTGAAGCTTTAAACAATAATATAGATCATATTAGTGGATTTTTTGTGTTTTTTATGTCGTTTAGGCGCCATATTTAAGTCGCCATTTTGAATTTCAAAAAGCGCCCAACGGGATTAAAAAGTAGATATTCCAAGCTAATTTTTCCAATATGATAAAATTTTTTTAAATTAAACCAATTATGGAGAGATGGGGTGGTCCGGTTGACAAAGAACGTCCCATATATATATACACTTCACTTAATTGTTTATGTGTATAACAATCATCTTTATCAAAATATATATGCGACGAATACTCTTGTATTTTTAGAAACTTTATTTCAACCTTGCATATGTTGGTGAATATGTGAAACTTCATCAGACCACACTGAAATTAAAATTCATATTCCACAGTATACGAGTACTATGTGCTCTGTTATTCTTTTCTTTTCTATTCTTATTTTCCATTTTTTCTTTTTTTTAAAGAGAAGATTACGTGACTCTTGGCGTTTCGAAAAGCGTATTATTTTTTCTGGCAGAAAAAAATCTGGTCAAAAAAAGAGAAAAAGAGATTTTACATTACACATATAAATATACCTATATTTATTTCAAATCTAATTGTAGTCAAAAAAAATTTTTTAAGATTATTTACCAAAGTTTTTCTAATGAGAAGTATTTTGTTCTTTTTTTGGGGGAAAACTTTTGAAGATTAAAATTAAGATTAAACAACATTTTTTAAGAATGAAATGAATCTTAAAATTCAAGTGAGTTGCAGGACTAAAAGTTGGATTAATTTTTACTGTGAGCTTTTCAATTTTCTCATCTGAGCACCGTCAGTTTTGAATTCGTTGCCTTTTAAAATATATTTCCAAGCACGACGAATTCATATCTGAAATAAATGACCTACATTTTTAGGATGAATCACAATTTTTTTTGAGGAATATTTCATTTCAATAATGAATGAGTTATTGAAATTTTTTTTTATTAATTTGATGTATTTGAAAAAAAATATTTTGTTTATTTAAATTTTCAATCATAATTTCTGATAAAATAGATTTAATTTCAATTTTTAAATTTAATTTGTAATAAATTATATATTTATCATATATAAATTTTAAAGAACATGTTTTATTTTACACTCAAAAAATATATTTGTCCCAGTGCTAAATAAATATTTATTTGATTCAAATAAATATTATTTGGCATAAATCAAATTTATTTAGTATCTATAAATATAAATTTTATTGCCACCAAATTTTTCCAGAAAGGTTGTGTTTTTTTAAAAAAGGAAAACAAAATAAATTTTACATTTTTTTTATTTTTTTAACCATTTGTTGATTTTGTTTACAATTTGAAGAGAATATTATATATATATATATATATATCTATTGAACAGTTTTCTGCGCTTAAAATATGAAAAGAAACTTTTATTTTTGATTTTTGAAGATATAGCTGCATTCCATAGGGCAAGGCAATAACGAGACAAGTCGATTAATTTTGGACAGGAACCAGGTCAGTGTAATATTGAACAAGTTCGCAAAAAGGATGATTCGAGAGTTATATATAAAGGTCCTATATATAGAAAACCCAGGGGGAATATGATTTGAAAATTTATTCCACGGCGACTTTTCATGTCCTATAATCTAAAGTATATCAAAGCCAATATAAGACAAAATATACGTTTCCAAGATATTGTCTGTTATATGATTAACTCTGAGAAACTTATAGTATCATGAGGAACAATTGTCGTGTACGTGTTTACAAAATAGAAATTCCGCGTAGAGCTTTTTCACAAATCAAATATTCTGCGAACCGAGTTGCTGATAAAAACAGAATACGCGATATCGCCGAATCGATAGACAATGAATTTCACTTTTTTGGTAGAAGAGATAAAAAAAACCGTCAATAATAATTGATGGCTAAAGCCACGAAAAACTCAAAATTGTTTTTTGTTTAATATCGTTCATGATGAGAGGGTGACTTTTTTTAAAAAAATATTTTCTAATCCATATTATCTAAAAAAACAAAGTCTTTCCTAATAAAATTCGTTTTTTTTTAAAAAGAAAATTGTCAAAAAACTTATTTGATTGCTAAAATTAATTTTTCTAAACTATGTTCCTTCGAAAATGAGAATATTTTATTTAAAAAAAATTTACTATTTTGAAAAGATAATTTTAATTAAAATTTAGAAATTGAATTTTATTAACAAATACAAATTTAAAAAAAGAAATATTTATTTTTTAGAAATAGTTTACCTCAATCTTTGTTTTCTTTTAATTTTAAACTTTCGATTTGAAAACCATGTAAATAAAATGTATAATATAAAATCAGAAAAAAACTGATTTTTTTTTTCAATTTGAAATTTTATTTAAAATGGAAAAATATTCAATTTTTCGTAGTATTAAAAATAATAAAAAATACTATTCAATTTTTTTTTCTTTTTGTAAAGATAGTAAAACTGAAAAGAAAAGCCGCAGATATATTTGAATTTTTCTCATTCGTCTGAGGACGGAAGTTGAATTGGTTTGTTTGTGAAACTCGACACGGTTTTCTCTGGTTAAGTTTTACAGTATTACTGTGTAGAGAGGAAAAATAAATAAACGGGAACACTTGTCACAGTTGAAATTAATTTTGGACCTCTATATTAAATTTCTATTTTCTTATACACAACAATGTTTTTCTTCGCGCATGGATCGTTCATTTTATATCATGTAATTATACGAAATTCAGGTGACTAAAAATTTATAATTTTCTTTAATGAGCGAGAAAATATAAAATTTTTTTTTTAACAATATTATGTATATATCTATTTAACAATCTAAGTCGAAGCAACTGCGCGCATTATGTATGTTGATTCGACCAATTTGACATTTAAAATTTACACTTTGTTTCTACAAATTGCATCCGCATCGACTTTACGAGTGGGCCAGTCGGTCCCGTGGGTTTCGTTTTGCTGTTCACTCTGATCCACGATCACGAGAGTGCAAAAAAAAAAACATCCTCGCTTTCGAGAAAAAAGGGGTAATTTCCGACTCTTCAAGAGTAATAGATAGGTAATTATCAAGAATTATTGTTTTTACAAATTTACTAGATTTACTGGAAAAAAATTACTTTTTGATAATTTAGTTAGAAATCATTTTTAAGATAATAATAATAATTATTATTATTAAGTGCTGCCGAGTGATAAATTCAAAATAATATTATAATATAATAATTATTATTATTGTTATTGATATTAGGAAAAATTTGTTAATTTCTGAAAAATTTTTCGTTAAAAGGTTATTTATGGTAAAAATTATTTTTCAAAAAGACTTGATTTAATTATAAATAAAGATTTATTTAAAATACACGGCTTCTCGTGTTGGATTTCTCTCTGAATTCTTGCCGGATAAAACCCATTCATTTCGTTCCCTGAAGGATATAATTTACTAAAAAAAAGATGACTGTACAAGTAAGGCTGGTTGACTTTGCTCTCTTCTTACAGACTTATCGTTTCTTGATAAGTATCATGGCTAGGCAATTTGGTTACTCATTTCTCGGTTATTGCTATAATTGAAAAATTTATTATTTTATTTATCTATATTATTATTAATTCAAAATAAATTCATGTTTATTCTTTATAAAAGTTAGATTTATTTAAATTTTCAAAAAATTTATCTTAGAAATAGAATTTTTCTAAATTTGTAGAATTATTCTTTTTAGAAACAGGATTTTTTAAAATTAGATCATTAAAATTGAAATAAAATTGTTCATTTTTAAAATTATTCTAAAATATATTTTTATTGCTTGTTTAAATAACAATTTTTCTTTATATTATTGATAAAAATTTGTACTAACCCTTAAAGATTTAGCATCGCCAAGAAAAACGAGACCATTAGCTCCAGCATACGCAAGTAAAGCATCCACAGCCTGCTGAGTTTCTAAAAGAATTCTTGCTTCATTCATCCAATCCTTTGCGATATTTCTAGATGCACCCTTTAATAAATTCATATATCGTAACGTCATTTTGAAATCACCTCGATCCAAGTAATGCCTGTAATTAAAAATAAAACAAATCTTCTTTAAAAAAAACGTTTTAGGAAAAATTTTTAATTGTAAAAAAATGTCGATTTTTGGTAGGTACAAACGCAAATATTGACTTGGTTGAGATAATAATAAGAGTAAATATCAGTTTCAAAATAATAGAGAATACTTTTATAAAATTTGATTTCTATTTTCTTTCCGTACTAGTAAACATCAGTTTCAAACAAATATACAGAATAACCTTCGTTTCCAGTGTAGTAAAGTTCAGTATAAGTCAGACATCAAAGAGCAAAACCTTATGATTTCAAACAATGAAAATTTAGTTGTTAACATTATTATTTTAAAATTGTTAAATTACTTTCAAGAATTATTATTTTTTTAATTTGATATAGAAAAAATCTCGGTGACTGTAATTATTAATTGACTAACATAAAAATTAATGTTTTCTTATATATCACTGCAATAAAAGTACTTTTTTTCAATTTTTCACTTTTGATCGTTGCGCAGTGTCCGCATAGTTTTCGAACACTTGCTGCAGGCAGGCAGCAGCAGTTTCCGACATCCGGTGAAATTTTGCTATGGTTTATCGGTACGAAGTAAGGGAGGAGAAGGTTAGAGACATTTTCAGTAGGAAACTCGATCTCTAAATGGTTCAAACACCATTTTCCACAGAGAAAGTTAGATCAGAAGTTCCAGAGATACATTATTACTATATTCCTTATAACAAATTCTCATGTAAATTTCAAGCATCAGATTTCGTCACAATTCCCCCTATTGACATGTAAAGTGAAAGTAATAATAATCAACGCGTATGAGAGTAGATTTCAGTATCTAAATTTAAACTGTCAATTTACTGTTGAAAATTTGATAATGGCTGTAAAATGTTATAAATTATAAAAATTGTTTTCTTATGAAACTCACTTCATTTTGTTTAAATAATAAATTCATGTATTAACAAATCAACTTGCTAAAGTCGTCTGGTTAATAGTCGACCTATTATAAGTAAATTCGATTTGGATTTGTCCTTTCGTTCTGTTATGAAAACTCGCGAGACATTGAGGATTCTCGCTGGGTCACGAAGACGTTGAGGACATCCCTGTCTATCATTGAAATTAGAAGTCATCAAGGGAAGATCTTCCTGGTGTATATATTTGGATGAGACTCCCGAATATTCAAGAACACCAGGAAGACGAAACTGCTGTTTTGTTGACGATCTGTCAAATCAATACTGGCAGTTAATTCTTATGGATTTCTCGCATCAATCAATTTGAAATCGGATAGTGTAGGGAACTGCGTTACCGACGACTGTGTATTGATTATCGGTCGCGGATATTATATTACTTAATATTAATTGATCTCAATGACACTCAGAAGAGAGGCCGCTGTTTAGCGACGCTTTCGAGTTTGACTTCTCAGCCATTTTAATCTCATTCTCATTCTGGTGTTCGTAGAGTCAAGTTGTGTTCTATTCTTTTTCGTGTAAAATAATTAAAATTTAACATTATAAAAATGAGACGAGACGTCATTATCGTCGTCAAATGGACTGTGAGTCCCAATAAATTATCTAGAAGTCGTTTCCTTCAGAATTGATTTCATTATTATTAAAGTATAATTGAATAAATAAAATATAAATCTTGTTTTTCGGCCTTTTGCTATTATTTAACTTTTTCTAAAATTTGAAGTGGATATTAAAAAATAGTGTTATCGTTATAAATTTTGTCTAATTAATGGTGTTTATCCTTATCCCCCCTCTCCGCGGACTATTGTTGTTGTAAAGTAACAATGGAATTCCTGAGCTGGTTTTAGTTTTTCATAATTAGAATTATAAAATTTACTTGCCGGGTTATTTAATTATTTTTTATGTTTAGTTATTTTTCATAAAATCGTCTTTGCAAAATTAATAATTAAAGAGTGTAGATAACGTTGACTGTCTTGAAAATATAATAATAAATAATTTAAAATAAAAATCAATAATAAAATTAAATTGAACGTAACAAAATTTTATATATAAATTATTAATTAGAATTTTCATTTTAAAGAATTTTATTGAAAATAATTTTTTTAGACGAATTTTCATTTTTCGAAATAAAATTTGACAGATTTTCTTTGTATACGAACTTTTACTTAACTAAAAGTTTTAGCTAAAAAATTTTTGTTTAGCAGAATTTTTATTTCATAGTCATTTAATTTAATTTCAGACAAATGAAAATTCAGCTTAAAAATTGTATTAATTAAAAATTCGTTTAAATAAAAATTTGGACAAATTAAAATTCGGTGAATTGGAATTTTTTCATTTAAAAATTCGAGTCACATAAAATTCTATTGAATGTGAGTTCTCTTAAATTAAAATTCTCCTTAATAAAAAGTCAGGAAAATTAAACAAAGTGTCTAAACGTCCGGCTAGACGGACATCAAAAAACGTCTAAACGTCCGTCTATATCCACCCGACTTTGTCCGCAGAATACTTTCGGGCATTTCCGACCCCCCCTTCTTCTAAGGTTTCCTTAAAATATACGTAGACGGACAAAATTATCAAAAATTATTTCGTCCGTCTAGTCGCACGAATAGACGCAGCGTAAATTAAATGACTATAAAATGAAAATTCTGCTAAACAAAAATATGAATAAAAAGCAGAAAGGATGAATTTCGTTTTCTTCTAAATATACGTGTGATAAAAAAAACTGAAAAAGAAACCCTAATTTGTTCATCATAAAAGGGATGCTCGCATACGCAATATCTACTTGCCACCCTCATCGTATTATATTGCCTTCATTTCCGATCATTTTCTTTGGCGCCTTGTGAAATCATCTTTTTCGTGAGACTATAAATCAAATTCCATATATATATATATATATATATATATATATATATGAGGTAAGCAGGAAGCATTCTATATTTTCTTCTAACTCTATGAAGGTGCGTAGTCAACCGGAAGGAAAAAGAATCCCGAGTTTGATTGAGAATATATCCTCCAGGGATATTCTTCCCTTAAATATATCAAACTTGGAACACTTCTATAAAATAAGATCAAGTGCCAATAATCAATATATCCAAGGGACAAAAAATTATAAATTGTCGAAGGAAATTTTTACAATTTTATCTTACGAAATTTTTGTATTTTACACCCTAAAAGTGAAAAAAATTCTTCGCGAAAAATAAAATATATATGATCTATTTTTCTTAAATCAATTTTTTATTTAATTCGAAAACAAGCTTTCCACTATATATATATATATGCGTGTCAGGTCGACCCATTAATGCTTTTTGTTTAAACTCAAAACAAAAATCCAGATAAGAGAAACGCAGTTTTGATCAACATTCCATATTCATACAATATATGACTATTTTTTGAATATATCACTAAAAGCAACTTGTGCAATGCACAAATTTTCATTTCATAAATTTGTTTACAATATCTTTCGTGTTTGTAAATTTATGCATGAAGTTATTATTCCGAATACAAACAAAAAAAAAACAAAAATATTTTTTTTATATCCAGTTCACTACATTTAGTTTAAAAATAAAAACAATTAGATTGATAAAGGCAATAAAAAATTTGATTCATATAAAGAATAATAATAAAATAATAAAAAAAATAAAAACAGTAAAATAATAAATGAAAAATATAGGAAAATATAAAAAATTAAAACACTATAAACTAAAAGAAAAGTGATATATAAATAAAATATTTGTAAAATGTAAAAATATAAATAATAATTTGAATAATTGATCAAAATTGGTTTAAATTGATTTCAATGAAGAGTTCGTTTTTCACAGAATAAATTAAATTGAATGTCTATAAATTAGGAATGCTTTATACATATATAAGGATTTTCGTCCCTAGAGTCGATTTTTCCAACTCTATACAGATGGATTCTGCATTGCGCAGAAAGGTTAAAAATTCACAAGATTCGAATGAAGGAAGATACATCAGTATATATACTATGTAAAGTCGTTTTTGTGCGAAAGTTTCTCGGGTGCAGAGATATTTTATTCTCAAGTGCAATTTCGAAAGTCATTGGCTGTTTACAAAATTCTCGACATAAAAGGTTCCTTTTCACAAATTGAGACTTATCAGACAAAATAAATTGTTGACAAATTTTATATAAATACAATGAAAAAAAAATTATTTCATTCAAATAATTGCAGTTTTTTGATTATTAACAAAAATAAATATTTACTTGAACCAAACAATTTGTATTTAAATCATATAAACTGTATTTTTGAACCAATAATTTGTATGTACCATTTATTTGCCTTCAATATAATAATGATTTTATAAATAATCAATTATAAATAATAATAAAGACAATTTTTTCATAGTACTATTTTTACTCCTTCAAACGAAACTTTATATATTACTGATTTTTTTCATTATTAGAATACTAATTTTAATTTAAATTAATTAATTTTAATTTTTTTAAGATAATACTTTTAATGTCTCTAAATTGAATTAAATGAATAAAAAATAATTTTTAAATCAATTTTGTGGAAATCGAAAATATATTTTGAGGAAAATATGAAAAATATAAAAAATATTTTAAAAATTGTAGAATTTGAAATTTTGTGATACAAAAATATTTTAGCACGTATATAAAGTGAAAATAATTTTAAAAACGAAAATAAATGTACGTGAAAATTGTTTCAATATGAGTTAAAGGAATTTTCGCCTTAGGGAAATATGTGTATACACCACATAACATTTCTTAGAGGCTTCTTAGTGAATAATATTGAAAAATTTATGTCAGTCTGGGGATCATTTTCGAGAGAAAGTATAGAATAATCTTCCCCTAAGCTTTTCTTCTTTGTATTCAATTTAATTCTTCGAATTTTTGTTCCCTATTTTTTTAATTGAAAAAATTAGAGAAACATAAATGTAAACTTTTACTTAATAAATTTAAAAAAAAATTAAATTAAATAAAGTTTTTGAAAATATCTATGAATAAAACATAAAATAAAATCATAAATTTAATTTTTTTAACAGATTTAAAGTAAAAATTGTCAAATGTATTTTTTTCTAGGACAAAAGTTAACAATAATTAGTGCTTTTACAATTACTGAACCAATAATTGCATATTGATTGCACTACAAGTTGCTTTGATTTTCGAAAAAAGTAGTTCTCAAATAAAAGTTGAAATTTTAATAATCTACAAATATTTTGAAATATTTCCCTTTCTGTCTGACAATGAGAATCTGGTTCAACGTGCATTCATGCATCTGAAACCCTTGTACAAGTCATACAAAATTCATAGACTTCAGATAAAACCATATTGAAATATTATTGATTCCAATTTTATATCGTACTAAAATTTACTCTACTTATTTATATATTATAAAAAATAATCCAATACTTTCAAATTATTATCAGTTATCTTAATATCAATATTATCTACTTCTATTTTTGTTGAAAAAAAGCAAACGAATAATTTCAATTTGCAAAAGAAATAACAATTTTTTAATACGGAAAAACATTTTGAAATCAATATCGAAATATTTCCAATACACGCATATAAATTTAAACGTTTCCTTTCTTTCTTTTTAGAAACTTTCAGTTATTCAAGTATAGTACTGTAAAAGTAAGCTTCTTTCCTTTATGAAATGCTCCCGTTTTTACATAAATATGCCTTCTCTGATTTTTCTTTTTTTTTATCGCTCGACTCGCTGAAATCTTCGATATCATGTAAGAGCGAGATTTCGCCTATATCCTCTGAAAAAAAGCGTTGACATTTGTTGGCATATCCAGGATAAGAAAACTCGAGAAAAGTCATAACCATAACTGTTTTCCACTAGATTCGTTGAGACAATTTTATACAAGTCCCTTTGGTGTCGTGAAAAAGTTTTTCAAGCTTTATTTGATCGCAGCATCCCCAGCTGTACTTGCAGCTGAACCTCACCGTGTCTCTGGCCTGCTACCAGAAATTGCACCAGAGAAGCATCTCGGAATATTTGCATTTCCCAAGAGATCGCCTGTGCGGCTTGATTAACCCAATCATGAATATAGATTTTTCTCAATTCCATTTATTCATATAGTATAATTAAGAAAAATAATAGTGTTATACTTTCGTTTAACAGAGCAGTATATATTGCATGATTCTCGTGGCCTACATATATACCAGGGGGGCCGTACCCCCTGCGCGCTTCGCGCGCCAACATCCATGATTTTCCACTTTAAGAGTTAATATTTTAAAGGTTTGCAAATATTAAAATTATTAAAATTTTACCGGAATTTTGAGGTTTTGTTCATTTCTTGGTTAAGGGAATTTAAGGTTATGTTTGTCGAACATATTCTTGACATATGACCTTGAATTTTGAGGTTATGTATGATCTATGACCTTCAATCCTTTAGACCTTTTTAGGTCAAATTTTGGCGGGAAATCCCCCCTAACCAAGAAACGAACATAACCTCAAACTTAGCTCAAATTTTGTCGGAAAATGCCTCCCACCCACAAACAAACATAACCTCAAAATTTATATGAATTTTAACCGCGAATATAGCCGCAAGTCCCCAAGATTGCCGCTGGGTTCGAGGCTATGTCCGACAGACATAACCTCAAATACCCCTAACCAAGAAACGAACATAACCTCAAAATTACCTAACCTTACCGAACCTAACCTTGTCAAAAACGTAGGTTGGGTACAGTTAATATGGAATGATCCATACTGAAGACAGCGACGAAATCTTATTATAATATATAAATATATATATGTGCCAATCCATGAGTTTTTTTTTACTTTTCGGAGTAACCTCACTAAATTAAATTAAACATTTTTTTAATAACACTGTGCGACAGCCGAAAAACACTTTTTATCAGACCTACTAGAGGTTGTAGGTAACAAAAAACTAAGAAGAATGGTATATTAAAAATTTTTCTAACACCCCCAAATTTTGATTTTTACAGCCAAAAAACCGTTTTCACGTATATTTATGACTAAAACCCTTGTAACTTTTTTTTTGGACGGATTTATAAGTTTTTTCTTTCATTTTGAAGGTGAAAAGCAAGGCTTTTCAACCCACATAGAGTTTTTTTTGTTAAAAATAATATTTACAAGAAAGTTTAGAAATTGTCAGTTTTTCCTCAATTTTTCAACTTTAACTGATGTTTACCGTATTAATTATGTTTTAAACATTTTTTTTTCTTTATGTAATATTCAAGCGTACTAAATTGTGCGCCGAACGAGTCCTATTTGAATAGTTTACTTCAAAAATTTACTACAAAAACCTACAAGGTCAAAGTGGTATTCTCAAAAATTTAGGAGATTTGAACGTAAAACTTACATAAGATAATGGTCTGACTACATATTGACTACATATTCGTAATCAGCGACCCCACAAACCCCCGAGTAACAAGTTTTAAGCTTATCTGGACGATTTTTAAAAATCTTTTCCGCCATTTTGGATCCGCCATTTTGAATTTTTGAAAACTAACGCCAGATTCATAATCAGCTACCCTAAAAACCTCTGAGTAATAAGTTTCAAGCGAATCTGAGTGTATTTTAATTGTTGTATTTTAACCAATTTTAACCATTGTTTAAGGGGTTACGCCACCCTGAAATTTTCAAAAAATTGATTTTTTTTGCTTAATTTCAAAATTTATATTCTAACGAATATTTTGAGATGTCTCCGAAGACAATGTCTCACTAATTACAAAAGTTATGATCTTTAGAAGTCAGCGGGTAGGGACGCGCCGAGAGCTGCTAGAAGCCGTCTAGCGCCTCCTTAACGACTTTCCATTTTCAGATCAGAGGACATTCTTTCCATTCTAGGAGAAGAGTATTATGGCCCAGGAATTGCTGATTAAATAGTAAGTTAAAAAATTTTCAAGTTATAATACACTAAAGTATATTTTTTTCTTCTTTTGCGTTTTTCTCGAAACCACATTTTTCGAGACGGTGTACACGATAACTCAAAAACAATTCAACCGATTGACTTGCAAATTAATATACATCTTCTTAAATAGATTTTCCACAGAGTGACGTGGGATTTTTTCGATGGAATAATTTGAAAATTTTTTATCCAATTTTTTATACTGTACTTTTAGCCCAAAAAAAAGTCAATTTTTAAAGTGCTTCCATTTGCGTAAAAAAATTTTTTTTTTTAAATGGCATCGTCACTCTGCTCAAAATTTGCCACTTTTTAAGAAAAATATTGTTTTACTTGTTTCAGATAAAAATTGAACTGCCAATCAGGTACACCATCAAGGAGTGCTCCGGAAAAATTGATCCACGCCAATACTAATATCTCCGCCATTTTTCATTAAAAACCATTTTTTTTAATATTTATAAAGCTTAATATATGTATTAAAGCATCAATAAATGTAAATAAGTCCTACCTCTAACAGTTTTGTCAAAAAAATTCCTAAAAAACTATCCGATTTTCATGCGTTCAGGGTGGCGTAACCCCTTAACTCTTTTTTAACGCTTTTTTAACACCGTATATTCAAAACAAAGGTTATGCTCAACTCTAAACGTATAGAATTATTGTCCCTCAATATAAAGCACTTTGGAATATGTTTAAAAGTTAAAATCAAAAAATATTATTTTTAAATAAAGGAAATACCTATTGTTTTTTTTTATTAAAGAGGAGAAAAGAGGATTTTATTTTTCAAATGAGAAAAAGGTAATGTTTGAAAGAAGAGGGGAAATAGAGAAACAGAAAAAAGACCTGTGAAACATGCGATTCTGTCTACTTGCATTTATCTCAACTTTTTTCTTTGGCACTATAAATCACACGCATTGTAATAAAAGAAGATCCGATCTTTATCTTCCATAATCTGGGATCAGAAGATAAAATGAGATAATCTGATTCGTTATTAATTCACTTTTTCAATGAAATTTTTCTGGAACGCGGACTTTAAAGGAAGATGAGTGTAAGTCATAAAGTGGTAAATTGGAGATTTCTTCAAGATGTATAACATCGGATATTATGTGGCAGGTGTTTTCATTTCAAAAAATTTACTTTAAAAATTGATAATAAAAATAAAGAAACATTATTTCGAAAATAGTAATCGATTTAAAAAAATGAAATCGCAGTTTATTTAATGCTTGTGTATAAGTTGAGTGTCATTAAATTGTTATTTAGTGAATTAAAAAAATTCTTTGACAATAAATTTTTCTTAAAATTTCAAATATGATAATAAATAACAATTTAATAATAATATTAGTGAATTTATGGAATTTAGTTATTAATTTAGGGAAATAAAAATGACTCGACTTTCTGTTTCAAAGGAACTCCCAAGGGGTTGTTATAGACTAAAAGGGACACAATTTTAGTAGATGTATCGTTTTAGTTGGAACAAAAATACATATTTCAAAGGATCAGGAAAATTGTATTTGAACCCATTAGTTTCTATAATGGATCGATAAAATGTTACAAGATCTCATATACATCAAAGATTCTTGTCTTCGTAATTTAATAGTCTTGTATTTACTTTCAGAAACACGAAGCTGAGTAATTCGTAAACAAATAGTCTTCCTTTAATATATTTTCTAATTTTAGTATTTTTTCTTGCTTACTAGTTTCTTGTTTCAGTGCTTCGTGTTTTCAATTTTTTTTTTCCTCTTTTTTTTTAGTAATATTTCTTTCACATTTCTTTTTTACTTTTTTAAGTTTATTAAAAAAGAAATGTAGAACTAGATTTTTAAAAATTCGTTTCTTTTTTTAGTTTCATTCAATTTTTTTTCCCTTCACTTTTCTTTAGCTGTTTTGCCGACTATAAATTATATATTTGGGGAAAAATTCCATCAACCGGCGACAGGTGAAAGGTTCGAATTTAATTCTAAGAAAATCACTTACCTCGCTCTGTGAAGGATGTCGTATGTGTTGAGGCTTTCAACATCGATAGGTTGATCCTCGAGTTCGCTTTTTGGAATTGGATTGACGGCTTCAATGATCAGGAAGCTTTGAAGGCAGCTAAGAAGATAAACAGGTAACGATGCACCTTCCTCGGGCACTAGAGCTAACCTCCTCGCCATCTTCTCTACCTGACAACAATGGATTCGGTCATTTCTCTAGTTTCGTGTAAAAACTAAAGACGTTTAAATAATTAAAATAAATATAATTTAATATAAACATTTTTCACACCTTGAGGAATCGTTCGCGAAGTGCGTCCTCAGGAAATACGCCTCGCTTTGAAGCTTCCGCGGGAATTCCCTCGACAACCGCATTCACCAAAGCATCGTCTTTCGCTGAAAAGAAAATTCAGTTTTTTTTCACTTTATAATCTCGTATTCAAACTATTGCTGTCTATGCATCAGATCCAGTAAAATTTTCTCGAAGATATTTCGAAACTGAAACTTTGAAATACTTCGACAAAGGGAATTTCGAGCATGTAAAAAATAGAAAAAAGGATATAAAGCAGGATGAGGAGAAAAATTCAAAATGAAAAAAGAAATCAAATAAAAAAAGAAAATAATTAATCTGACAGGAAAAACTTAGTTTCAAGAATACTTTACTCAAAGTTTTGGACGTAAAATTTAAAAAATAAAGTTTTCGAAAGCAGAAGACCGTTTTACAGGCGCTCTGAACTCAAAGATATGAATGAAGTTAAGTCAAATGTTCATAATAAAGGAACTTTGAGCTTTTTACGATCGACGGACTCGTGAATCAAGAACCGTTTATTAACTTTAACGAAAGAATACCTGAAACGTGGTCATAAACACTTGAATGGCTTTGTGACGGCTTTCTACCGATTAGATCGTAAATCTTGAGACGCATCGCGTGAAAGCTTCTCAAGTAATCGTCTTATATGTGAAGAAGTGCTATTCATTTTTATTATTTCTCAAACACATCGTAAATAAAAGAAAAAAAAAATATATATATACACATGAATTCAACTTGAGTAATTCATTGCAATTTAAAATGATTCATACACAAAATGTGTTTACGACCTGATATTTCGATTTAGTTCATCAGTTGAAACAATTATACAAATTATTTATTCCCCACATGCATAAAAGAACAGATGCGCGCATATGATTCATATTTCAAGGTAGACAATATTCCTGTTGTGTATTACATTTCATTAACATTGTTGAAATATTAATACCACAACTGTACACACGTAAATTAGAATATTAATAACAATAAATTTTATCTGTGAAACTAATTCCAATTGTTAATGTTATTCATTGTTTTTTGTGGAAAAAGTTTTTTGGTTTATATATTACATGTAAACACGAGGAATGTTAGTATAATACAAAAAGTGAAAAGTCAATAGCAAAAGAAAGAAAAGTAAAAGGGAACAAAGAAAATAGAGAAATAGAAAAAGAATAACAAAAAAAAAAAGATTTGATCTTTTTACAACAAGAAAAAAAGTATAAATTTTCAATTTACTTTTCTTGCTTTAAAAAACAGAAAAAAACAACAAAAAAAATGCAGAAAAAGGGCAAAACTATTTAATTTGACACGTATGAAAAAGATTTACCTGGAGTACCTACAACATTTACTGGAGTAGCAAAATATTTCTCTGTAATAACGAAAGTCATAACTGTTTTAGTGAATTTTTTTTTTTTACCTATATTTCAAGTAAATCTTTATGCACGTAATAAAAAAATTTTTAAAGTTACTTAAATATCATTAAACAGTTAATTTGTTAATTTTTATAGTTCTAAATATTTGAAAAATAATTTGAAATTAAATCTTTCAGAATTATTGTAAAAAAATATTGGAATAAATGTGATTACATATTTTGATTTTTATAGTTTTCTCTTTTTCTTTATAATTTCGAAATGAAATAGAACCGATACAAAAATAAAAATTTACAGAAAATCGAAATATGAAATCACGTTTATATTTAAATATTTTTTTTACAGTAATTATGAAAGATTCAATTTCAAATTCATTGTCTAAAATTAATTGCATTTGTATGATCATTTCTATCTGTGAATCATATAAAATGTCTATAATAAAATATATGGAACTAAAAACTAAAAAATCTAATCTTCCTTTTCATATAGGTTTCAAGTAAATTTAAAGGGAAGGGGGGTGTTTTGAGATATAAAGCATTTTAAATTTCAAACTAGAATTTTTCTACGAAATTGAGAGAAATTTTGAAAAGGAAAAAAAAACATGTGAATTGTTGTCGATCGATGTTTGAGATATATTAAAAGGGAAAAAATTAAAATAAGAGAGAATAATTTTAAAAAAAATAATAAAAAGAGGTCAGAGAAGGAGGGAAAAAAGGGAAGAATTGGAAAAATTTTAGAAAAAAAAAAAATTAGAAATAAATATCAACTTACGTGCAGCCTTCCTCACTGCAATAATTTCAGGTTCAAGTGGTCTCACTGCTTTATCTTTCGGGGCTCCAGGTGGTGCAACTTTAACAGCTCTTGCCAGGGCTTGGCATGCGGACCACAGCATTTGGGCATCGCAAGCTCCTTTTTCCTGATTAATACGCTCTAAAACACAAATGAAAATAAAACGTTAGTTCGCTTTATACGCTGGGAGCTTCTTTGTACTATGACTCTTAACGTGAAACTTTTTAAAATTTTACTGTTCTGGAAAATTCGTAAAATACAACCATCATCGTTCTTTATATCAAAGATTATTATTATTATATAAAAAGTACAAAGTTATTCTTTAAAATTTATATTTCACAAAAAATAGACAAAAAAATAAAGTATAAAATATAATTAAATATTAATAATAAATTTAAAAAATAATGTAATAATATATTAAGTATATATTAATAAATTATTATTTATTGACATAAAATCGTCTAAGATCAACAAGATCAACTACAAATCGTTGCCTTCGCAGGCAGAAAAATTTCCTAGAAAAATTTTTTAATTTATAACCCCTATAAAACACAGTCTTCTGCATAAAAAATGAAAAAAAAACCGAGTTCTTTAGAGAAAATATATATTCGCGGTTTTTGTATTTTACTTGGCAGCATTTCACTACCGCGTATCTTGATCTTAATTCTGCTTTATGCTGATTTTTTCAACTTTTTTTTTCTGAGTAATTGGAATAATCTGCATACTTTTAAAAAATGAAGCAATTTTTTATATTTCAGTCAATTTACGATTTTGTGTTACAATTTTAAAGAAATGTCTAATTTAAAAAAAAAATTGTTCCAATTTTACAATCTATAATTAAAATTTTTAAAACAGTAATATAATTTCTATTTCTTTCTTTGAATAGGGAAATAAGTGACAAAAAAAACCGATACATAAAATTCAAATATAAAAAAAAATTTTAAATCCATCGATGATTTGACAATAAAATTAATTGTAACATAATTCAACAAATAATTCTATAAAATATCAATAATCTGCAAAAAATAAATATAGGTTTATATTTAGAAATGTAATTTTTCGTTCAATTACTTTTTGAAAGGTGAAAACTTTTTGGATATAATTTACGATCGACAATATACGATAGTTTAATAAAGATAAATAGAGACAATGGGCATGTCAATATATATTACGTTTAATAGATCAATTGCAAACATCAAACACTATGTAATGTCGATACAATTGCCACGATGATTGGCCTCTATATATATATATATATATATATATAGCACGTATTGGAAATGCACCTAAATCATATTGGCTCGAACAAAAAATGAAATACAACTTATATTCACACCTTGTTTTCACATTGCTCATGAATCATCATATATTTTATCAAAATTGCTCTTGATAAATTATCTTTTTTCTCGTTTGTTTTTTGCTATACATTTATTTTTTCCCCCTCAACTACACGCTCTTTTCAACAACTTTTTCCCGCATGAATCACCTTCAATTTAAATATCATTATCAAGAGCGATGAAAGAAAAAAAAATTAATTTTCTGAAAAATCGCTATGGTATATATATATATATATATATATATATATTATTAATTGCGTCAAACAATTTTTATTCATGTAAAATGTAACATAACGTTAAATGAATGTTAAATATTCCCTCATCTCTAATGTCATAAACATCTCACGTCTTCGGATATCAAAGAATTTTATTTCTTTCCAGATTCACAACGAGTGAAATTTTATTTCGCATGTGAATGCGGGAATGTGTCAGTCAGGAAATGTCTTCTCGCATGCAAATATGATAAATGTCTGTTCATGGCCAGAAATGCACAATCAGCAAACGAGATTCGTTCCGAAAAATTCGTTTTCTCTCTGGACAAATCAATTTTATTTTCAATATTTAAATAAATAAAAATTTCCATATTATTTTTAATTATTATAATTGAATAATATATAATTAGTGCGTGGAGAAATAATTATTCGTTTAATCGTTTTTTTCACATAGTGCGAAAAAGGGGATTATGATTTTATGTAGTATATATATGTTTTTTTTACATATCTATATTTTTCTCCCTTTTTACTATACATTCTAGAGCCAACAAAACCAGTTTTAAAACTCTTGTTTTCGACATAAAGACAAGAAGATCGAGCTTGCCAACTGAACGAATGGAGCATTCAAGTGGAATGAAGATTTTAAAAAGGTTCACAACAAATTGGACAATCTTTTCTTCATTTCATTTTCAAATTTAATTTCCATGAAATCTCCACAAGATATCTCGTGTCTTATGATAAAGTTAATTTTGTCATTTTTTTTAATTTAAAAAACACGCAAGAATATTCGCCAAAAATCAAGAGTTTGAATTTTCAATTTTTCGAAATTCATATAAGAGGTCGAATTTCTTTTAAACTAAATTTTATAAAATAAATTTTTTATTATTTTCATTAAAAAAAAATAAAGTAAAATATTCTGAAATTAATAATAAATATTCTAGTTTGTATTATGCATTTCCACATTATATAGATTGTTCTTTCTATACGTGAGTTTTCAATTAATTTGCCAGAATTCGCTTTATAAATTGGCATTTAAAGGAAAAGAAAAAAAAGAAACATGCCTCTTCTTGTTTATTTTTATTAATCTGTTTCTGTCCTGTTCTTGGTGCAAAAAAAAAAAAAACAAAAAAAAAAGTAAACGAGTGACAATGCAAATTTTCCGTCTGCTACATTGAAGCGTTGCACTCTATCGGAGATAAAAACGAAGAGCAAACGAGATTCTCTGTGGCTGAAATTAACGCCAAAAAAGAGTCATGACGGGCTCGTGGCCAATGTAGTTTCTACGGCCAAACTTTCGAAATTGACGTCGATACCGACTCTGCCTGAATTCGTTTTATATACCAAACCCTATCCCCTTTTCTCTTTTGTACATCACGTGAATTCTCTCGTTGAAGGGCAAAGTTGATTCCCTGACCTATCCAATTGTTCTAGAAAAAAATATATATAACGAGAAAAAAGAATAGGTTGAAAAATGTTTCTTATTCCATTTTAATTTTAAAAATTGTTTTTTTTTTCATTTTATTTCAAACAAAATTGTTTTTAAAATTCATGACAGATTCATCTATATTGGATTAAAAAACGATACAGTGACTTTTGATTTAACGAGAAAAAAAAACTATGTCCGATTATTGAATGAAAATTAATTTTCCAGAGTATTAACAATTTTTGAGAATTTTATTTCTCGCGCACCAAATGCTAAAAGAATTAAAAAAAAATGTTATATCTATCCAGATACAGTATGCTAAAAGTTTTCGAATGAATTTCACAAAAATGCACAGATATGTATCAGCTGTTGTTCGCTACAGTTTTACGCCAATAATCGTGCCGTTAAATGGTGAAAATTGTACCAAGTTCACACGACTGGACGTCAGTAAAAAAAAAAATCGGTATAAAATCTAATGAAGACAAATAAAAAAAATCGTCCTCTATCGCATATTGTTCAAGCCACTAAATTTTTTTAACAACATATAGAGAGAAAGAAAGAACTGACAATCATGGAAACAAGGAAAAATATTCTACAAAATCAATTTAACGCAAGACAGTGGAAAGAAAATAGAGAAATATATTACTGCCGTGATAATATTGATTAAAGATATAAATTTAGCCAACCGATATATTTCGATGGAGAGTAAATTTGTATAATATATGTTAAATTTTCACCGACGAGTGATTTTTCAAGATTCTAATTTCTCACGTGATTTTCCATCTCTATGAACATTTTTCAAGTGTTAAAGAGTCCTTGAAAGTTTTGCGCCCATAGAACTTAAATGCTTTGATAGACACTCGATGAAATTTCACCTTGACACTTCCGGTTATAAGCTCTTTTATGTAAATCCTCGTAAAACAAGGAATAAAAGGTCAATCTGCTTTATTTTCTCATAAGTTTGTAGAAGTATATATATATATATATATATATATATATATATATATATATAATAAATTAATTAATAATCCAAATTTTCATTTTCAATCAGAAATTTATTTTCAAAAACAATTCATCATATAATGACAAAAAAAAAATTAATAATTACTCGTCTCATTGTTGGTATGAATTTTGATAAACACAATAGAAAAGGCACAATGCGATATTGAAATATTAAAAAACAGGGAGAAACAAATTTAAAAATGATGACAAAAGCAGAAGTCAAAGGCCATCAGAAAATAGGGTGAAGCAATCAATTTAACCCGTGGTTGTACACAGCTTGATACAATTTTTTTTTTTTATTTTGAGTTGAGATCGTCTCTGCTATTAACATTGTTACTGGATTTATCAACGTATGCGTAAAAATGGTACTGGCATTGCGATCCTCAGCGGAAAAAAGCTGATATTTATTTCAGTAAACGAACACGTGAAAGTTCTATTAAAAAAAATGTTTACTAAATTTTGATATTTTCACAGCTACATTTAAAACTAAAAAAAAATATACTCAAATGCCGTGAAAAATTTCTGTATTAGTTTAATTCTATTTAAAAAAGAAAATAAAATCAATTCCAAAATTATAACAAAAATTTATAAATTATAGATAATAATAACAAATGTGAAATATGAAATACTAGAATTTAAAAACTCCAGAAAAAGTTTTAAAGCTAAAATCCTTACTTTTTGATATATAGAGAGAAGGAATACTAAAAAAAATATCAATAGCATTTTGTTGAAAGTTTGCGTTTGAAGTATTTTCAAGTTTTCGCAAAAGTGTGCTGTATTTCGTTGTCGATATAGATATTCTACGTTGAAATACTTTTATGAATTTCCTTTCTCCAAACGAAATTTCCGGCGAGAAGTTCAAATTTCGATGAAGAAAGCTTAACAAAAATATTCGTCTTTTTTAAAGTCTCTTTACCTATGATATAAAACTAAATTTACGCGCATCAATTCAAGTGATTTAAATATAGTCAGTTTGTTTAAATTTATTCTTTTCCATGAAAAGAAGGAAAAAGTAATTTCCATTTATAACCCGCAAAAGACCAAGAATGAAACAATAAAAATGTGTTTCTTTTTTTTCAATCTTAAAACGGTTATACAAGAGACGAAAAGTTATAATAAGTGCGCTGACTACTTTCCAAAAACAATTTCCACATTTCAAATGGGCTA